TACCCGTGCTCGCCGTCCGCAGGCTTGTTGCCAGCGAAACAACGCTAGCATCGTTATTTCACGCCGATGTCCTGCTCGACCGTGGTATCACTCCGGTCGAGCCGGCCCATTCGTGCCGAAGCACGGCTCTCCCACGTGTAGAATATCACATTGAACATTAAACAAGTCAATGCACGTGTTACGAAATCATATTACCATTATTATGGTTATGACAGATAACAATAACAGCGTAATGATAGAAATCATCATTGTATTATTATTACGTAATATACATTATTATAATCGCATATATAGATGGAACTTTTTGTAAACACAATTACCTATCTAAAAAAATGTATCTGTTGATGGTGTGGTCACAGTAACACTCGAAAAGCGGATGAGCATAAGCGGTAGCGTTTTGACAGACAAAATTCAACATAACATCCCGCCTTTTATCTCCAAAGGGATTTTTTTTAAGGGGGGAAAGTCATCGAATGACTGCTCCCGCCTGGGTGAGGCGGAAGGGAGTGTCAGACTCTTACTGACTAAAAACCACCCTGTTCCAACCCAAAATATTTTAATGAGAACATACATAACATACTAAATTAACTAAAAATCGCGAGTTACTCACGTGAATATACTTCGAAAAGCTATACTAGTTTCGAACCACAGAGGGATTCATCACGTCATTCGTCACGGCGATGTCGCGCAGTCTACTCCTACAGTAGGCGACATCGCATATTCACGTGAGTAACCCGCGATTTTTAGTCAATTCTTTTAATGAAGTACGAAAATAAATAAATAATAACTTGATTATAGCAATGCCCTCTGACGTAGAGGAGCCCCATCATAGTCCAGCAGTGTGATCTCAAAGGTGGTTGATGATAATGAACACTCATAACCTACATGGACAATAGAGGTAAATCGTTTGAAATCGTCAGAACAATAACAGATAAGAAGAATATAACTTCTGTTGACGTAAAAGTTCACCTAAATTCAATTATTGACAAACAACTGCAATACTGGCAGTCTTCTGAGAATGTTTCCCGATGACAGTGATACAGACGAGTATTTTATTAGTGATGGGATTTTGTAATGGGATAAGCCAGCCACAACCTGTCAAAACCGGTGCAACTCCTGTAAACCAGGATCCAGAAATGCCCGCAATCCTGACAGGAATGCTTTGATGTCTAGACTAGACGTTTTGGTTTATTTTCTTTAATTTTTTTATGGCATAAGCCGGTAAACGAGCAGACGGATCACCTGATGGTAAGCAATCGGCGTCGCCCATGGACGCCTGGAACACCAGAGGCGTTACAAGTGCGTTACCGGCTTTTTGATGATTAAGAGTTTGAGGATCGTTTAGGGATTACAGTGTTATCACCATCAAACGCGTGCGAGAGACGGAGGGTAGATGCCTAATTTTTATTTTAATGTCCGTCTGGTAGGTTATTTTAAATCATTAGACACGTATTTTTTATTTTCTTACAAAAACGAATACCTACTTTCGACGATATATTGATTTGAAATGTCGCGTGACGTCACTTCTACATATGTATGTACATTTTATACGTAGAAATGACGTTTTAGACCCCCAATTAAGCAGACGTATGACCAGATTGCTTACTTATAACTATAACTAACAATTTCAATATAATAAAATCTCAATAATAACTCATTGTCAAAACTATACAACCCCTATCGTAGCTATTAAAATAACATTCAGAGTACAGAATATAAAGCCAAACTCAATACCATTTAGTTCATTCAATATCCACGCAATAAGGTTGCAATGGGCGCTAAGGTTGTAACTCAAGAGTACGAAATTTCACAATATCAATGTCAATCGATCGGAATTGGATTCAAGAGTAAGGCCCCTGATGGTAAGCAATCCGCGCCGCTCATGGACACTCGCAACACTAGGAGCGTTACAAGTTAAGTACCGACCTTTTGACGATTGGAGACGAGGGCAGTCAAGGATTGAGCCTTCGGAAACCTCGCTCACACAACGCAAGCGTCGTTTCACGTCGGTTTTCTGTAAGCGAGTGGTATCACTATCGGCAACGGGAAACCCAGTGTCAGACTGCGCCAGACAATCCACAAACAGAGAGAAATGGCGGGAGATCGTGAGGAAAGTTGTATCGGCCTCCAACACAAATACGGCCGCCTCAACGTGACCACGACCGCTCTGCCAAGAGCGAAACGACAGAGAAGAAGTGGTATCACTCCGGCCGACCGTCCCATTCGTGGCGAAGCATGCATGGCTCATCGATTACACATTCACATCACATTATGGTATTTGCTTGTAACTTGCATAGTCTTTTGCCATAGTACTGGATCAGAATAATAAATTATAATGGCCATTGTGTTATAATGTCTATTTTGAAATGCTGTAGTGGACTCTAGTCATAATATTTGCTAACCGGTATCGTCTGGTTCATTGTTATGACTAAAGAAATGTAACTCGCAACATACTTACCTACATACATACATACATGAGTAAACTCATGCCTTTGTTTCATTAAGCGGGTCTACTCTAGATGAACGGAGCATGAGCTAAGGACAAGCGGAGCCTTTATTGAGGACGTCGTTCGCAGTGTCAAGTGTGGACGTACACACGGCTACACATCGAGCTTTACATAACCAGTATAAACTGAACGTTAAATGTGCGGAAAGATGATGCGATGCGACACCAGGATAAACTGGTATTGTATAGATTGCCGTGTGTACAACATCATGGTGCTCAAACGTAGTTTGTCGCAGTGAGTACACAAAACTGCGGTGCGATGCGATTTCGTGCGACAAGACGTCTACCAGGGTGACCATTCTTTCGACGACCGTCAACCATACTAAACGTATTTTAAATTGAAAACTAGGTCGTGACATGGATCGTAAAAATAAGTGTGCACTTCTGTTATTGCTTAGGTGATACAGGAAAAAGAAATAAAGAAGATTTTGGAAAGACAAGATTTTGATGCGCGATGCGAATCAATTCGCGAGTTCTTGCGATGCGTAGTGGGGACTCGCACATTTTTGCGATGCGACGTCGCATCACAGTTTTGTGTACGAGCCTTAAGTGAGCGAAATCAGCAATGCGAACGCGAATCAGATCCCTTTGTGTTCATCAAAAAGCCAACAACAGGCGGAACGCAGCTGAGCACGGACTAAAGGCCGAGACACATAACCGCGCTGCGTGGCCGCAACGCTAAAATCGGCAGTGTGCGTTGCGGTGCGTTGCGGCATTGCGGCGTCGTAAAAAAGAGCGTTTTGTTGTCGTTCGGTTGGGTAACCAGTTCGTCGTGATTTTTTATTGTAGATAGACGGGTCTCTGCCGTGGACCATCAACCAAAAATATCAAAAGTTTATGACAGTCCACTACTCGACAAGAGTATTCCTATCTAAAGAGGGGTGTGCCATAATGTCCATGTTATCACTTAGCAAGAAGGTTAGAAATCGCAGTTTAAACTGTCAAACACCGCGAGGACACCAGTGACCGCAACCTATTGTTCTTTAATTGTGTCTATAATGACGGTACTCAAAGGGTTGAATGGTTCAAGTTTATCAGAAAGGGCTGCTGCGCGGTCTCTGTTAAATACGTAGTCTCTTGGTCGGGTATACGACAACCGCGGGAAGCGTAGAGGTGGTCATAAATGTATTCTAATCTGTCATCATCAAACGACTAAAAGTATGAGATAATTTCCTGTTTAAAGCGTATGTCATTATCTACAATTATCTGTAAGCAGTGTCGTCAATACTTCTTGTTTTCATTTAAGAATAGGACAAGCAGAGATACGTTGGTAATTATAAATATTATTAAAACAATCAATCATAATACGTCTAATACAATCTTCCTTCACTGGTGACTGAGAGAGTGACAGACTGTACACAGCTGTAACTACTGCGCGTAGCAAGCTGTGTGACATGTAGGGCGCCAGGAGAGTGTAGGGGAGTGCTGAGAGAGTGACAGACTGTACACAGCTGTAACTACTGCGCGTAGCAAGTTGTGTGACATGTAGCGTGCTGTAGAAGTGAAGGAGAGTGTTGAGAAAGTGACAGACTGTACACAGCTGCAACTACTGCGCGTAGCAAGCTGTGTGACATGTAGCACGCTAGGGGAGTGTTGGGGAGTGCTGAGAGAGTGACAGACTGTACACAGCTGTAACTACTACGCGTCGCAAACCGTGTGACATGTAGCGCGCTATAGGAGTGTAGGGGAGTGCTGAGAGAGTGACAGCTGTAACTACTGCGCGTAGCAAGCTGTGTGACATGTAGCGTGCTGTAGAAGTGAAGGAGAGTGTTGAGAAAGTGACAGACTATACAAAGCTGTAACTACTGTGCGTAGCAAGCTGTGTAACATTTAACGCGCTGTAGGAGTGTAGGGGAGTGCTGAGAGAGTGACAGACTGTACACAGCTGTAACTACTGCGCGTAGCAAGCTAAGGGAGTGAAGAGATTGCAGAGAGAAGATTTCCCAAAATTCGTACTGGAACTGTTCAAACATAACCAAAGAATTGCGGTAAAAAGATAGTATATAATAGTAGTTTAATGTTTTTATCAAGGTCATGCTATAAGGTAAATTATAAGGAAACTATAAATATAGCTCCATGATTCTTTTCCTACTAAGAACATACAGAGAAGTACAAAATGATCTGCAGGTTGTTTACGGGCGAACATTAGCTCATGACGATACCTAAGTACGTGTGTCGCCTGGACAGTCAACCTCGCTACATCCTTGTTGATTTGACATCTACACTACATGAGCTGCTGTTTACGGTAACATTAGCTCATGACGACACCTAAGTACGTGTGTCGCCTGGACAGTCAACCTCGCTACATCCTTGTTGACTGGACATCTACACTACATGAGCTGCTGTTTACATGTGAACATTAGCTCATGACGATACCTAAGTACGTGTGTCGCCTGGACAGTCAACCTCGCTACATCCTTGTTGACTGGACATCTACACTACATGAGCTGCTGTTTACATGTGAACATTAGCTCATGACGATAAAGTGACTTACCGTTCATATTCAATTGCTGATATGTCTGCATCACTGGAACTGTGATTGACCTTAAGAAGACCGTTCCTTCTGAAGAAAGACTTTCTTCTCGCTCTCCCTCCCTTCTCCTCTGTGCTAGATTCTACGAATGATATGGTAGAAGAAGATGTGAATTCCTTGTGGTTATCCTGTTGGTCCATTATTCTGGAAAAGAAGATTTAGTTCGCTATAACTTCTCTTACAGAATACATGTGGGAGAACCATGCTTCAGCATGAATAAGCCGTCTCAACCGTCGTGATACCACGGCCTCATTGAACATACTTCAGCATGAATAAGCCGGCTCAACCGTCGTTATACCACGGCCTCATTGAACATACTTCAGCATGAATAAGCCGGCTCAACCGTCGTGATACCACCGCCTCATTGAACGCCGACGTGAAATAAGGCTTGCATTAATAAAATTGTGTTACGCCATGTAAGTGAGATTACTAGAAGTTCAACCCTCATCCCGATCACCAAACTGCAAATCCCCATATTATACTTTGTCAATATTCAAACCCTTAAACGGGTCTCCATAGACGGCGCCAATCGCTTACCATCAGGTGATCCATCTGCTCGCTTTTTTTGTTTTTTTTTTTCAAGGAGGGAAAATCATCGAATGACTTCTCCCGCCTGGATGAGGCGGGAGGGAGTGTCAGACTCTTACTGACTAAAAACCACCCCGTTCCTTCTCCTGCACTTCGAGCCGGAGCCCCGGTAACCCGTTAGGTTCTCTCTCCGAATAGGCATCAGCCGATTACCGGCTGCTCGTTTACCGCTCTAAATTCAAATATCTTTAGGTATTGCTAATTGCTTATTGTTGTCCGATTGGTGGCTTGTTCGTCCGCGAGTCACATAAAGGGCCAGTAGAATACCAGTACAAGGCCTGGTCTTGCACATGCTGAACTGGTCACCTTAGGACATCAGTAGGTATTTATAAATTTATCTGTAGATATGTGTCATCTGTTATAACGAGTATAATAGTTTTTCTTGCTTTCCTTTCGCTACCTATTCCATAAAAAGCACTCTTATAATATTTTTACCTCGCATTTCTACGTTTAAAACAAAACAATACCTAATGTTTTCCATCAAACGCGGTCGTATTTTGTTTCAAAACTCACTACAAAAATATGCCTACATTTTGCCGACTAGATACGAAAATAAAATAAAATTGTACCTGCATGAAAAAGGGTCTATTCTAATATTGATTAAAACCTTTTTGGGATGTCACCTTGACCCATAAGAGGGATTTTGAGGACAACAATATACCTATCTGTACGCATCTTACATCTGCGTATATAATTCTATTAAAATCAATTAAATCTCATTTCTGACTGATTTATTGTACAAAAATGACATTAAAACTTATAGTTCTTAGCAATAATTGAATTATTTTATTATTGTGTGAGATTTGCTATCGAAATCGAGTAAAAATCACAATTTTGTCTAAGAAACGTAAAGAAAAATGTTACTTACCGATTTCAGCCGCTTTTTTATACTTTTATCACTAAATTCTTTATTTTTCAATAAATAATTCACAAAAATATATCTTTACACTTCATTTTGTTAATGTAACACGCTTAAACTTCTTAATTTTTATAAATACCCACATCTTTCAACAAAAATATTGTCTGGACTCACATCTGACGTTTTTTAATCTGTGGCGCTAGTGTCGCGCGGGAGAATTTGGAATCAATTGATTGATTATTTGTTAAGAACATATTTTTGTTGTTTTTGCTTATAAATGTTAGTTTTACGTTTAAATTAATTGGATATGGTATTATGACGTCAATATTTGGTTAGTTTAAGTCATGATTTAAGTAATAGACAGTTGTATTGTTTATTTTTTACGCTTTTTCGAGAACGACTGTCCGATACCCATACATAAAGGTTCTTATGCTTACAACTTATAGGAATCGATACTGATGACGTTATAAATACAGATTGAAGACTTACAAAGGCTTTACAAGCCGTAATTGTCGTGTTAGCGAAGTATTTAATTACAAAATTGCTTATTTTAAGTGACAAAAGCCAATTAATCGTCCAGATTATCCAATTTATTTACTAAAACGAGTTGTGTAACTGGAATATAAATATAATGTTATAATTTGTATTTTTCTGAGACATTTATTGTAATCGCAATTTTAAACATGCAATATTTAATACTATTCATGATCATTTTTAAAAGGTAAAAGAAAACATGCTATTTAACGCCATCTACATTTCATAATCTGAACCACTAAACCCGATTGACGCTTCGGAAGATTTTGTATTTAACAATAGATGTCACTTGTTGTGTAATGCCGCCATTAATATTGAATAATGGGTTAAAAATACAATTCTCCAACGAAATATAAAATAAATAATATACTAACTGTATAATTATTACATATTTTATACACGGGTTTACTCACGAGACTGTATAAATGACAATATTTTCCCTAAATGGACTGTAATGCATGCCATCTCATATTTCTACGTGGAAGGAAAGAGAAAAGAGTTATAGGATTTCTGTAGTAGGCAAAAGTGTTCGTTCTTCATAATATTATTTGTTTCCGCCTAGCTGTGCCTTCGAAATCTTGTTTTATGCGAAATATCAAAGCAAACATGTGTTTTTCTGACTTACAAAACGTAGTCAACGTTTAGATCAGTGATTTTATGTTAAAAATCCTTTTTTGTCGCAGGACGTATGTTGTAACAGGCTGAATCAGTGATTGTTTGTGCCCTTTATTGATTTTTTTAAACTAGTGGTTTCTTTGTGGTTTTTTAAAGATCTTTGTTTATGTGCAAACATTTGAAAAGGATTTCATAATTATGTAAGTAAAATGTTGATGTTTTTGTTTTGTTTAGTCTATTATAGGTACAACTATAAGATTGTTAGGTAATATTTTAGTCCATGTAAGTAATTTTGACCTGTGCTATTTAGCTATAGGTATTTCTTTGGAGATTTAATCAAAATTAATGAATGTAAAATGCCTCTTGGTTAATTTTAGGCGGGAATTTTTTGACATTTCATTTTTTTATTTTAGGTTTTGCATTGAGCATTTTTTTTGCATGTTTTTTTTTATTAAAAAGATTGTGAATTAAAATGAGTCGCATACCTATAGCATTCAAACATACAATTTATTGTTTAAGTAAGTATCCTAAGTCTAGATTAAATTTATCATAATTTCCAAGAAACTGCACTTATTCGTTACGTACCTACACCATAAAAACTATGGCACTCAAATTTAGGTCAATGAAATTACCTACATACCTACGACCTAATTGATGTATGAACTAACTATTTACCCGTGACTTCGCCTGCGTGGTTAAAGGAAACAATGTAGCCACTATTTCACAACGGCATCTTATCTGTCTCCCAACCAAAAACAAAACAAAAATCATAACATAAAATGTAATTCTCTGCCTGAGTCTTTATTTCCTGAAGTAGGTATAACCTGGGTGTCTTCAAGGCCCGAGTGAATAGGTTTCTTATGGGACGACGTGTACCATCGTAGACCGCACCATCGCTTACCACATACCACCAGGCGAGATAGTGGTCAACCGTCGGCGTCGGCCCATCAAATATTTATAAAAAAAAAATCTTAGGTACCTATCTATGACGTAAAGGAAAAACAAACAACAAACGCACTTTCGCATTTATAATGTTAGGTAGGTCCCTAATAGGTATTACTTAGTAAGGAATTATTATTAGGTATTTATTTATTTTGTTAGGTACCTACTACCTAACTAGGTATTTTTAGTTTTGTGGTTGTAATAACAGTCTTAGTAAGTAGTACTTAAATAATTTGACCTTGTTTGATTCTTGAGTTGTTATGTTATGTTATGTAGTTTAATACAATAATTAAGCCAAAGGATACACTTTTTTGAGTGAGGAAATTGATCCGCTTTCTCCCGCCTTGGGTTAGGCGAGTGTCAGACTATTAAATCTTACTGACTAAAAACCACCCCGTTCCTACGCTCTTCGAGCCGGAGCCCCGGTAACCCTTAGGCCTTCCGTATCCGCATCAGCCGTATTGGGCCCCATCCATGGTGGTCTGATGTCTCTTTGAGCGCGTGCGGAACGCGACGCGCCGTAGGTACGCTCGGGTCTGGTTCTGGTCGAGCGGCAAGCTACTCTTGGTCGCACTTACGGTGGCCGGAGATCGTCGCGCGATCCCCGACGACGATTGTGAGGAGGCAGCGCTTCGCTGCCTCACACGCCCCTCCTCTATACTCCTCTTCCGCTCTTTATGTGACCCACAAATTGTTGTTTCGGGTCTAAATGTCATGTGTATGTGAACTTGTATGTTTGTAAACGAACCCACGGCACAGAGAAAATGAAGTGGGACAATGTTTTCATTAAAAAATAGAATTCCCAGAAAAACTAACCTATTCAAAGATAATTATGATGTTATGAAATATTATATACATACATATTATGTTATTACCTAAGTAGGTATCTATAGTCATATAGATAAATATTAGAAGGTAAACAGTGTTGATCGTGATCGTACGACATTGAAAACTAGGTGTAGGTACTTACTTAAGCACTATACCTAAGTGTTTATTGGTTTATACATATTTGTATGTTTAAACCACAATATGTTTTCCTCTATAGTCCATCTGTTTAGGTAATTAACTAAAGGTAAACAAAGAAAACCACGTGACACAGAGATACTTAACCTACTATTACTTCAAATATTTCTCGTGTTTTAATTTTAACTAAATTCACTTTAAAATCGTTCATTTGTCATACACACACATACAAGTACAAATGCCTAAATCGTACAAAAGCCTAGCCTATGGGTCTATTTCATTATCATGTTTAAATAGAAACTATTCTGAATCTGATATACGTATTTCTTTCTTGCACGGATATGTGTCTTTGGGCCAAGTTTCTTCAATATATTTGAACACATTAATTACAAACGATGTATACCTAAACTTAAATAACTTAATAACAAAAACAAAACAAAGAAACAAGATAAATTCAACAAAATAGGAACGCGAGCGCAAACGACGAGAGAACTGTCAATGGCGCCTGATTAACCGACTAAACGTAATACACGCTACTTTCATTGTCGCGCTACATCTTAGTTGTACTCTTTAATTTGACAACATTATTTTGCTTCGTTCTTAAAGAAGGGTTTTGGATACCTGGGATTTTAGGCTCTTTATGGTGTCTATTGTAATGAAATATTATATTATTTAATAAATGTTATTAAATTAATATCCTCAAGCAGATATATATAATATTTACTAAGAAATAAGTGAAAAGGAACAGAAACATAACATTTAATAGAGAAAACTGTCGTAAAAAGGGAAACAATTTTATTTTCTTATGAAGTATTTTGAATCATGGAAATGTCAACTATAAAGAACTCTTTTTATGGTTTGTTTACAAATAGTTAACTACCTAAACAGACGGAGTATAAGTACCTAGTAATATATATAATTATGTATACCTAATATTATGTTGAGTAGATAACAACAAACATACTTACTAAAATTATACTATGTACGTACGCTTTTGCCAGCGATTTCGCCCGCGTTCCCAGATGATGAAATATGGCCTATATGTGTTATCCCTTATGTCATACCATAATCTACCTTGACTGCCTCGTTGGCCGAGTGGTCGCTAATGTGACTGCCGGGTCTTGGGTTCGATTCCCGAGTCGGGCAAAGTATTACTGATATTTAAAAAGTAAATCTCAGTAGTAGTACGGTGTCTGGAATTGTGCCCTGTATATGGCAATAGGCTCACCCTCTATTACATGGGACTCATAATACAAATAGTGAAAAGTGGGTTTTACATTGTACAGTGGCATTAAGTGCCGCAATGTGCTCTGCTTAACTCTTCGGCGGTGATAATAGGCGTGATTATTTTATATTTTACAGATCAACAAAAACAAACATGAAGACGAAACTGACTTCTGTGACGTACCTCGGGTTCACCGCCATGGATCGACGGTTCTCCAACGCCATGCTGCCCTGGCTACTGAGGGAAATTAGAGCTACTGGGGTCAGAGATAAGGTACACAATACAAATAACCAAATCCAACTGCCAAGCAAGATATCTCGAGCCGCAGAGGACTTAACGGTTGTGCCAATCTAACAACTATAAAAAAAAACAAAAATTTGAATTTGGAATCATAAACAAATCATCTATTCACGATACTTTTTTGACTGAATATAGCTTAGACTTCACCCCTTATTACATGGGACTCTTATGTCGGAATACTCAAACGCTACTCAATTTTAAGTCGCGCTTAAGTATAGTTCTGTCTCTACAAATTCTTTGTGAAATGACAGAGATGGCACGATATTTAAGCACAAATTAAAATTGAGTAACGTTTCAGTATTCCGGCATTACTTAACTATAAAATCTATTTTACTTTCGTCCCGCCGCAAAAGAACTTTCCATAAGTAGTACTTTAGACATACAAAGTAAAAAAACAAAGATGTCTTACTTTTCAGTTTAAAAAAATTCGAAGCTAAAGCCACATGAAACACTAGACGTAAATTTGTAGGCACTATTCGCATCGCACGTGCCACCTGACGAGAAAGACTTCTTCGAGAATGACATGGCGTGATGTTTTGATAATGTACTATGAGTTCGTATGCACTTCCAAAGTTTGCTTTTTGCAGTGGTTCAGTAGTTATTTTTTGTTTTAAACATTTTATTTCTTTGTAAAACTACTTATTGTATTACCGAGACAGCACCAGTTTACTTCAGGACGAAAACGAAATAGATTTCACTGTGAATTGTATTTTGTATTGCATTGTATTGTATATGAGCACTTCTGTCTGTCAGGGATTAACTCGTCGAGTACCGTATTTATAGACACAATTAAAGAACAATAGGTCGCGGTCACCGGTGACCGCTTGGTGTTTGACAGTTTAAAAGGAGTGACGTTATATTATTTATAACATAACATAACATCACGCCTTTTACCCACGAAAGAGTGAGCAGAGGTGCACATTGCGGCACTCAATACCAATGTACTATGTAAGACCCACTTTTCACTATTTATGTTATGAGTCCCAGTCACAGTTCCAGATTTCATGCTACCACTAAGAAAAACCCAGTAATTCTTTATCCGAGACCCCTTGTCCGGCAGTCGCACTTGCGACCACTCGGTCAATCAGGCAGTCATATTTACGTTATATTTATGTTAGTCTTAATTAGACAATAGTAACGATGTAGATTCTTACTCGTTCTTCGCCATTCGAAACTACACTTGGGAATGAGCGCCTAGCTTCACTAACAATTCAATTTGACGTTTTAAAAGTGTCTAATCAAGGATTATTTAAAACAAAAAGCTTTGACTTTGATTTTTTTATGGTATAAGCCGGTAAACGAGCACCTGGATCACGTGATAAGTAATCGGCGTCGCCCACGAACACCCGAAACACTAAAGGCGATACAAGTGCGTTACCGGCCTTTTGACGATTGTTGGGGATCTAGGGATTAGGGAGATTGGGAAGAGGAGGGTAATTGGGCCTCGGGTAACCGCACTCACGCGACGAAACACAACACAAGCGTTGTTTCTCGTCGGTTTTTAGTGAGGCCGTGGTATCACTCCGTTGGAGCCGGCCCATTAGTGCAGAAGCATGGCTCTCACACACCGTTACATCCTTTGTTTCTATTTGTAATCCTAATCCCTTTCTTTCTCTTACAGCTCAGCATAGCAGTAGAAGATGGCTGCTTGAAGGCTTACAATGGAAACTTCGAACCCGTGATAGTACACAGACTAGTCGACATCGTTCGGTAAGAAAAACATACATATTATTTTAAATTAAAATCGCGGGTTACTCACGTGAATATACTGAGAAAATCTCTACTTAGTTTCGAACCACAGAGGGGTTCTTCCTCATGAGCAGCGTGCGCGGTCGTGGCGATGTCGCGCAGCCTACTGATCGAGATTTTCTCAGTATATTCACGTGAGTAACCCGTGATTTTTAGTTAATTTAGTATGTATCACGATAGTTATTATAAAACATACATACTGTTAGACGAAAGTCAACTAAATTAACGGAACTAGTTTAATCTGTATTATCGACAGCACTAGCTGTCATGTTAACGATGTCATCTGTCAAATGTGACAGATGAGTAAGTTTCCCGCGCAAAAAGTGGTAACGGGCATTCGGTTTGACTTTGGAAGTTTTGAACAAACATTATACGGTTTTCTTGTGACGCTGTTTTGAAATAAAGTTTTTCTATATACTTAAAAATACATACATAAACTCACGCCTGTCCTCCATGGGGGTAGGCTAGAGACTATGGTACGCCAATTGCTACAATTCTTACTTACCTCATTCACTTCTTTGGTAAATAAAAATTTCTTTTTAACGCTTCTATTGATCTTACTTCGAACTTCACTCGTATGGTCAGAGAAAAACGGACTTAGCCTATATTACTCTTCAGCCTTTGAATCCACCTCTCAATCTCCAATTCCCATTCCGTAAATTGCCATATACCCAAATCCCCGAATCATCAAACCTGAATCTCCAATACTCAATTCCCAATCCCAAATCCCCAATCCCCAAACTCAATTTTCAATCATAATTTCCTATCCCGATCCCCATCATAACTTCCATCCTTACTAGTCCTTACTAATATTATAAATCTGAAAGCGAGTTTGTTTGTTTGTTCCACCTTCACGCCGTAACTACTCAACCGATTGCTTTGAATTTTTGCAGACGGTAAAGTTAGAAGTCCGGATTAAATAATAGGGTACTTTTTAATCTGGGAAAAATTGATATTCCCGAGGAAAAACAAAAGTATTGGTATAGATGGCGCTGTGTGTATTGGTATATGTCACATAGGCTAGTTTTTATTCTTTTGTGACGCGAGCGAAGCCGCGGGTAAAAGCTAGTTTTTTATATATATCTCTTATCCCATCCCAGTCCCCAATTCTTAAACGCCCATTTCCTAACCCCACTCTAGTTTTCTGTAAGACGTGACGTCGTGACGTCACTCCGGTCGAGCTGATCCATTCGTGCCGAAGTATGACTCTCCGAGTTCTCAGAACATTAATTCAAACTTCGACATTAATTTTATTGTTTCGCTCTGATTGGCCGGCTCCAGGAAACCGACCAATCAGAGCACCGAACGAGCTCATTGCTATGACGTTCTGAATGCGATAGTTATTCCTGTATGCATTTTACAAAAAAAGTCTATACGATATATTAACGTTGTGAGAAACAAGGTGGATAAAACACAAAATAAAACGAATACTAAAACATTATTTACCATTTTTTATCTAAAATAATTTGAAATTAAATATAAAGTCGTTTAGTAGAGTTTATGACACCTGCGGAAAGAGGAGGGGTGATGGTGAAATAATGACTTAAGCTTTGTCATTGTTCCAGGGCCAGTCAGGTACCAGGTAGACCCGAGGAGCTGTTCTACATACTCCTCAATGAGAAGGAGGCACTCCTCAATTGCTTTCTCTTCAGAGCTGCCACTGTGAAGGAGGTAAGTAGATTTTTAGGTTTTACTAGCTGACCCGGTAATCTTCGCAGTGCCTATAATAATTTTCTCACATTTAAACCTTCCCTGGACTTCCATGAACATTTCAAAATCTAAATTAGCCAAATCGGTTCAGTCGTTCTCGAGTTTTAACGAGACTAACGAACGGAAATTCATTTTTATTTATATAGATAGACAGATAGATTACTTAGTGTCGTTTGACGGCTTTCTCACGATAAAACTGTTCGGAAAGGAACTCGACTAGTTTCACGGCATGCTAGGGGCTCATATTCATGAGTGACGATGCACAACGCGATTAACGTCGTGTAATCAACTTCAAACATTTTTTTTTAAACGTTGTCCCACACTAGGATTTTCTCCTGTGTCGTGGGTGCGTTTACAAACATACAAGTTCACATACACATGACACCCAGACCCGAAACAACAATTTGAGGATCACACAAAGTGTTGTTCCGTGCGGGAATCGAACCCGCGACACGTTGCACGGCAGCCGGTTGCCCAGCCACCGCACCAACCGTGCAGTCTAGATTATTTTTAATACAATTACAATTATTGACTACGTTTTTAATCACGTGGGCGTGGGTCCAACCAAGCAAGACTATCGAGGTGAAAGTTTTAGGTCTTATTATCAAGTTGGCTAACAGTATCGGTTTTGACGTTTCGATAAAAGTATTGAATTTGAATAGTTGTCAACTACCGTATTCTCATCTAGATTGATGCCCGGATTAAAATAAATAAGGGCTAATAAATTAATACTGTACTGTTGCTCACCAAATTGCACTATTGTGCACCTCTTGTTCTTCGTCCAATAGTGAATTAGCTAGTGTTGCATCATTGAACGTTCCTTTTTTTATGGAATAAGCCGGTAAACGAGCAGACGGATCACCTGATGGTAAGCATTCGGCGTCGCCCATAGACGCTAGAGGCGTACAAGTGCGTTACCGACTTTTTGGGGATTAGGAATTTGAGGATTGTTGGGAATTCAGGGATCGAGGAGATTGGGTAAAGGGGGGGGGGAGGGTTAGGCCTCCGGTAACCTCACTTACACGACGAAATTAAACGCAAGCGTTGTTTTACGACGGTTTTCTGTGAGGACGTGGTATAGTGGTAAGACGGCTCATGCGTTCCGAAGCATGGCTCTCCCACACTTGGTCATTTTGACAGCTACAACGAATGGAAAAAAATACTCTTCTTGCTATATTAGCACCATCTGACAAACAAAAAAACGTTAGCTCCCATTAGCTCATTAAGGCTAAGGATTCACGGCGCGATTTTTTCCCGCGCCCGCCACGATCGCGGGCCCGCAGCCTTTGTAGAATACAGATATGTATGTAAACAAAAACTATATACAAACGAAAATTAAAAACTAAAAAGGAAAAAAATAAATAATTTGATCATACATACTTATAGCTTACACACCCACTGATAGGTTAGAAGTCGGTGCCTGTGTTGTGTGTGTGTGGTTTTTAATACTTAATGAAAAAAAAAACAAATGCATTAGTCGCCCCTATAATTTTTAAAAGTTCCCCTTGGATTCCCTGGTCTTCCATCATCAGCCTGATTTCCTTATCATGGGAATCTCCTTTTCAACAAAAAAAAATAGAATTTTCAAAATCGGTTCATAAATAAATAAAGGAGATATCGGCGAACAAACATAAAAAAGCATATATACAGTCGAATTGAGAACCTCCTCCTTTTTTTTAAGTCGGTTAAAAATCGAAGTCATTTTTACGGCGCGTTTTACGCCCGCGGCGGTTGCGATTGTTTGCGGCTCTCACTGCACCGGCGGGCGCGGCCGCGGTTCCGCAACCACGACAGCTAGCACCCGCGCGCTTTGCGATCGGTTGGCGAGCGATCGCAATGGGAAGGCCGGTCTGGAACTAAACTGATTGTTTAACCGCCTGTCTTCCGATAATCGCACCGCGGCGGCTGGGGACACCAGGGGGCTTACTCTTGAATCCAATTCCGATCGAACGACATTGGTATTGTGAAATTTCGTACTCTTGAGTTGCAACACTAGCGCCCATTGCATCCGTATTGTGTGGATATTGAATGAACTAAATGGTACTGATTTTGACTACACATTCCGTACTCCGAATGCTATTTTAACAGCTACGATAGGGGTTGTATGGTGTTGACATTGAGAAATTATTAAGATTTTCAAGAGTAAGCACCCAGAAAATTGCGGTCTCGTGAGTTTCAAAAATTTCACCTCCTTTCCGCCACCGCGGTGAACGCGGGAGAAGATCGCGCTATGAGTCCTTAGCTAAGACTAAAGACATAACATTATGCACTTCTTAACTCCTCGAGCGTCCTTATGAGCACCCGGTGGATCATAAGAAAAAATCATCAATGCTGCTTTCTCTTTTCTAAAATCGAATGTTTTGTTTTTATTTTGACTGTATTTGTTTTATTTCTATTGTAATGATCCTTGTTTTCGTGTGCCAATGGCCAAATAAATGCATTTTCTTGCATGCATAAGGAAGGTGGATGCTCGACGGGTTTACTAACTACCATAACTTCTAAAAACATAATATTTATACGTTTATCAATTTTTCCCAAAATAGAAAACGAAGTAAACATTACAGCCATGCCTCCCAAGTGAAGTGTGTTTAATGTTATCTCGACAGTAACGAATTACTTGGTAATGTCAACACTATGAGAAAAATAAACATATTTTACTTTAGCGTACCTTCAAAATTGGTTTTAATGCTGTGTAACTTATAACATCATGATTTTTCAACGCAGGTAACGGATTGCAGGGCTACAAATTGCGTGGCAGCAATGATATTATCTATATATATAAAAGAAAGTCGTGTTAGTTACACCACTTATAACTTAAGAACGATAGAATAGATTTGTCTGAAAATTGGTAGGGAGGTAGCTTAGAGCCAGGAGACCGACATAGGATACTTTTTGACCAACTTTTTTTTTTTAATTTTTACCGAAAATCACGAACGGGGACGGGAACAAATGGGATTACGCGTACGAAGTCGCGGGCAGAAGCTAGTAAATAATAAAAAGAGGTAGATATCGCACTGGCACGCAAAAATTGTTGCGAACGAATTCAGACAATTGTCGTAATTTTATAATAGCTATCTCTTTCTGTACCATACTTTCCGTATTATCTGTCGCACGAAGTTGAAAATGACATTTAAGTACATTTGTAATAAGAACGCAACAATTTTTGGACGCCGCTTAGTATGAACGTAGCGTATCTTCTTTATAATATCATTGCGTGGCAGTAATTTTTCTTTCCTTCTTTTCTTTCTTTATTTTTAAAAAAATTGACCCACACTAAGATTATCTCCTGTGTCGTGTCCGAGCCTATTGCCATATACCGGGCACATTTCCAGACTCCGTGCTACTACTGAGATTTTTAAAAACCCAGTAATACTTTGCCCGACCCGAGAATCGTACCCGAGACCTCTTGACCAGCAGTCGCACTTGCACCCACTCGGCCAACGAGGCAGTCATATAAGAGGTCTTCGGTACATTTTCGATTTTTCAAAACACTCGTTCATTCAGTGCCAGTTATACAGCGGATGTCAAACTCTATTTATCTAAACTTAATTTTAATCTTTGAACTTCAATAAATCCTGCTTAACTGGTTTCCCCAAAATCTCGCTCACCTTGCAGCTTTGTCGGTTTGATTGAGATGCAAATAAATATAACATAACATCACGCCTTTTATCCCCGAAGGGGTAGACAGAGGTGCATATTACCTACGGCACTTACCACTGTACGATGTAACACCCACTTTTCACTATTTGTGTTATGAGTACCATGTATTAGGGGGTGAGCCTATTTCCATATATCGGGCACAATTCCAGACTCAGTGCTACTACTGAGAATTGTTAACTGTCAAACACCGAGCGGACACCGGTGATCGCAACCTATTGTTCTTTAATTGTGTCTATAACGACGGTACTCAGCGAGTTAAAAATCCAAACGCCCCGACTCAGTACCCTAACAGCTCTAAATGACATTTAAATTGAATACCTATTTTTTATTTGTTTTTAAATAGGACCGCCTCGTTGGCCGTGTGGTCGCAAGTGCGGCTGCCGGGCAAGGGATCTCGGGCTCAATTCCCGGGTCGGGCAAAGTACTACTGGGTTTTAAAAAAATCTCAGTAGTAGGACGGAGTCTGGAATTGTATCCGGTATATGGCAATAGGCTCACCCCCTATTACATGGGACTCATAACATAAATAGTGAAAAGTGGGTGTTATTGCACAGTAGCATAATGTGCACCTCTGCCTACCTCTTCGGGGATAAAAGGCGTGATGTTATGTTTTTAATTATTAAACGTTGATTTTAAAATATAAAGCACACGTTTTGTAACCATCCTTTGTTTAAAACAACGCAATGACAAATACTATGTATAATTAGGTATATTGACGAAGTTACGTTGTATCCGGATATACTTTATTTGCCTGCGTAAATTATTCTACTTGACATTTTTTTTAAAGTTCAAACCATGAACTTTGAAACCGTGAGTACTTACTTCAATTAAATAATTTGTCCACCATTTTTATAAATCAACTTGTACAGTCCTAATCATGTCTTGGGTCCCACTGCTCCCGAAATGTGGGAGAGCCATGCTTCGGCACGAATGGGCCGGCTCGATCGGAGTGATACCACGGCCTCACAGAAAACAGACGTGAAACAACGCTTGAGTTGTGTTTAGATGTGTGAGTGAGTCTCAAATTCCTAATCCCCAAAAGGCCGATAACGTGGGCGACGCGAATTGCTTACCATCAGGTGATCCGTCTGCTCGTTTACCGGGTTATCCCAAAAAAAAACTTGGGCATCTATGTTTTGAAAACCATCATAATCGATTTCAATTGTTAAGATATAATGAATAATCAAAGCAATTTCTATTGAACTTGAAAGAAGAAAGAAAGAAAAATAATTTATTCCTATTGGTATTATTTATGTAGGTCATATACTTCACATTCATTCAATTTCCTAAAACATATTTAA